AAAAAAAAAAAAAAAAAAAAAAAAAAAAAAAAAAAAAAAAAAAAAAAAAAATTGGTGGGTAAGAATAATGTAAAAAAAATTAGACGTGAGAAAGTAATTCTTAAGAAAAGAAGCTTAAATATAGGGCATTAAGAAGAAAAAAAACATAAAAATAATAGTAAATGAAAGCGTAGTTAAAAAATAGCTATGCGTAAGTGCATGTAATGCATTATAAACGAAAACAAGTAAAAGAAAGTAAGACAAAAAAAAGGCGTAAAATATAATAACGCTTAAATTTAAAAGCAACGTATAAGAAAAATAAACGTGTAAATGTAACGTATTAAAAAAAATGAGTCGTAAAATATCATAATGCATAAAAGTCATATGGAAAAATAAGAGACACGCAAGACAATTTAAGCGCAAATATAAAGAGTAACTAGTAAAATATTAAGTTTAGGATCGCCTAAATGTAAGGCTTAAAAAACTTTTTAAGGAAAGCGTAAGAAAGTCAAAGTGTAAAAGCAACGCATAATAAAAAGTACTACAAAAAATAAAATGCATATAACGGGGGAAGTAAGGCATGAAAATGAACGCTTAAAATTAATGGATAAGAGAAAAGCGTAGAAATAACACATTAAAATAAATGTGTAAAATAAGAAATGGGCATCCTAAAGCGAAACAAAAAGTAAGAAGTAAAAGCAATGCATAATAAATTAGACACCAAAAAAAAGCATAAAAGAAAGTAAAAGTAAAGCGTAGAAAACACTTAAAGGTAAAACTGCATAATAATATTAAAAGTAAGACATACGAAATGCACCGATGAATCAAAAAATAAAATATAAAGCAGATAGTGTGTAAATTAAGTAAAAAGAAAAACAATTTAGTGGGTAAGAATAATGTACAAAAAATTAAACGAGAAAAAGTAATGCTTAAGAAAAGAAGCGTAAATATAGGGCATGAAGAAAAAATTCCTAAAAATAACAGTAAAGGAAAGCGTAGTTAAAAAAAGCTACGCGTAAATACATGTAATGCATTAGAAACAAAAACAAGTGAAGGTAAGTAATACCTAAAGAAAAAAACGGCTTAAAATATAATAACGCTCCAATTTTAAAAGTAACGTAAAAGAAAAATAAATGTGCAAATGTATCATATTAAAAAAATAAGTCATAAAATATCATAACGCATAAAAGTATTATGTAAAAATAAGAGACACGCACGACAATTTAAAGCGCAAATATAAAGAGTACCTAGTAAAATATAAAGTTTAGAAACGCCTAAAAGTAAGGCTTAAAAAAGTTTTTAAAGAAAGTGTAAGAAAGTCAAAGTGCATAAGAAACGCATAATGAAAAGAAACACAAAAAATAAAATGCACATAACGGGCAAAGTAAGGCATGAAAATGAACGCTTAAAATTAATGCATAAGAGAAACGCGTAGAAATAATACATTAAAATAAATGTATAAAATAAGAAATGCGCTTCCTAAAGCATAGAAAAAAGTGAGAAGTAAAAGCAACGCATAATAAATTAGACACCAAAAAAAAAGGATAAAAGAAAGTAAAGCGTAGAAATCACTTAAGAAAGGTAAAACTGCGTAATAATATTAAAAGTGAAGCATACGAAAATCACCACTAAATCAAAAAATAAAATATAAAGCAGATAGTGTGTAAATTAAGTTTTAAAAAAAAACAATTTAGTGGGTAAGAATAATGTAAAAAAACATTACTTTCACGTTTAATTTTAGGAAAAGAAGCGTAAATATAG